CGGGAGCCGCCCCAAGTGAGCACAGCCGGAACTCCCCACCTCACCCCCTGGCAGGTCCCTCTGGCTCTTAGGGTTGGGGGGCTCTGCGTGCTGCCGGCGCCTGCAAGCCCCGCTCCGTGGCTCCAGCAGCTCCCATTGGCACTTTTCCCAATGGGAGCCACGGAGTTCGCGCTTGTGGCAGACGCAGCACATGGAGAGTCTGGAGACTCCCCTCGCCGCTCTCACCCTAGGAGCCAGAGACCTCCCAGCAGGGCTGGTGAGTGCGGCCAGGGAAAGGGGCAGGGTGTGATGGAGTGAGTGTCTGGGAGGTGTGTGTGGGGTGCTGGGCTGTGACAGTGTGGAGGGCGCTGTGCAGTGGAGGAGGTTTGTGTGTTTTGGGGTGCTAGACAGTGGGGGCCTGTTGGGAGGTGGTGGGCAGTGGGGGAGATCTGTGTGTGTCAGGGCACTGGGCAGTGCGGGTCTGTGTGGGGCATTGTGTAGTTGTGGTGGTGGGGCTGTGGGGAAGGGCACTGGGAGGGAGGAAGGAAGGGAGGGAGGGGAAATCTGTGTGTATTGGGAAACTAGCGAGTGGGGGGTTCTGTGTGGGGTGCTGGACAGCTGTGGTGGAGCTGTGGGCAGGGGGGCACTGGGCGGGGGGGGTGCACAGCACTGTGCATTTGTGGTGGAAGGGTTGTAGGGGGGCTCTGGGCATAGTGGATCCAGGGGGCGCTTGGCAGGGGAGCTGTGTGGTGCAGCATGGGCCCACCCCCAACAGGAAGGGGGCTGGTAGCACAGGGCCAGGCGGACCAGTGTGCCTCTGGCTCCGGTCGGGGCTGTGCAACCTGTGTCTGTTTGTCTGTCTGTCTCCCCCCACACAGACACCCCTCCCTCCCGCTCACCCAATGAGTCCTGATATTTCACTCTTGCAATCTGATCACCCTGTCCATAAGGTTTCAACATTTAAGATACCTGTAGACTGTTACTGGTATCATGTTGCCCACTTATTTACTGCTTCGCTAAAATACATAACGTAAATCCTTCAACACATCTGGGCTACATGATCATTTTTGTTGTCTTTCTCCAATTTGTCAGTATCTCTTTGGTAACAAGGTGCCCAGAACTGAATGTGGTATTCCAGGTCCAGAGCTGAATAGGATCCCGCCTTACAATAAGGTAAGTACCCTTGACTTCTCAGCATCAGGCAGAAACATGGCCACAGAAAATGATTATCAAGGTCCCTTTCCCTCTCCAATGATGTACATCTATGTAGATGGAGCTGAAAATAACCTGTAATTGCAACTACCATATTACACTGCAAAATTATGTCTAATGTTCTGCTTGCGATCACCCTTTGTCAGTATTACTAATTCAATAGGAGTCACGCCCTTGAGAATTTCTGGAGGACAGCATGAGCGTTTGTGGAAATGGGCAGGAGATGAAGGATGGGAGCAGAAGTCAGAACTGGGCAGTGAGTGGGTGAGAGGTGATGTACCAGCAGAGTGGGAATGCAACAGGTGCTGTGTTTGTGGAATGAGGAGTTGGAGACATCATTTGGGGTCCAGGAGGAGTGGAGCTGGGAGAAGGAGGGATGAAAGACAGGGGAGTATAGAGGAGATGGTCTGTGAACGCCAGGGTTGTTGAATGGGGTAGTAGAAATTTGTTCTTTGGAGCACAGAGGGAAGTCTGAAGTTTCACCATTTATTTAGGAATCTGATTTTTATTATCATATTATGTATTGACAATAACAGAATACATACGCACTTAATATGTATGGGTTGTGGAACATTTTACAACAGTTGGGATGAGTCCATATAATGTCTATCTTTTTTCCTTTCTGTCAGTGAGTTTATTTTGATCCATATCTTCTTGAAAACAATATTTCCATTAGAAAAAGAATCCTGTCTAATCATTTTGTAGTAATTTTCTTGTAATGGTCTCTAATAGAGTTAGGTGAATAACGTAAGAAATTTTGGCAGACATTTGTTCTAATTTTTAAAAGCATTCTCTGGGCTCTTGGTTGCATCCCTTCAGGGTTCATTTTTTGTGAACATTTGAGCAACTGAATTTAATTAGCACAGTTGTTCACCAAAAATGATTTTCAAAGTTGTACACGAGAGTATTCACAGAAATTAAGTATAAAAAGTACACATGCCAAAATTCACACAATTGTGTCCCTCAACCAATTAGGGAACAAATGCATATGATATATCTGGAAAATCACAACTAACACTGCTTACATTTTGAATATTTGTGATCAACCAGAGTATGAACATCCAAAAAAGCATTTGTCCAATACATTTGAATACTGATGAAATCTTGAACTGCTGGAGAATGTTCAGAAAGTAAAACAAAAAGGAGGCTACATTCAGTGAATACGTTATTTATAACTAAATATTTGCTCAGCTCTAAATAGTTTCCTCACATTTTGGTAGAAGTTGTAGAGTTATTTCTGGAACTACAATAAATTAGAATAATTGAAGCCGCATGAAGCCCTGCTATGAGGCATTTCTTCAGTTGCTAGTTAGAATCTCTCTAGTGAAAGGTGTTCATTAAAACCTTTAAAGAATTTGGTTGTATAACCATCTTCTCCTGGGGCCTTGCCAGAGTCCAGAGAACATATTGACCTATGTAACTCTGTTAATATAATTTCTGTTTCTAATACCTTCAGGTCAGTGGAGGTGAGACACTTCAATTCAATCTCATTCAAGTTATGAAACGATTTAAAGTAGGATGATTAAATTTGGAAGAATATAAATCCATTTTGGAATCTAGAAAAATGTGTTTAATTTCACCGGAATCATCAATTGTTAGACCTATACAGTCATTAGTAATCACTTTTCTCCTTATGTTCCACTCACCTTCTTTGATGGCCCATTCAGACCTCTTTCCATTTTGCATAATAACTTTAATCTCCATCAAAACACTTTCAAGTCAGCCTTTATCTACATAACACTTTGAGTCTTTGGACTTTGGTGGCAAAGCTTACATGTAGCTCCCTGCAAGTACCTTCACTGGCACAATTTCGAGAAATTCTGAATATTATAAATTTGAGGGACATGGAATATATTAAATGGATTCAGTGTTGTTCATATGAGTTACTGGGTTGTCCAGAAAAAAAATAGCTCTTTTATCATAATGGTGCTGAGAAAGGGAAAACTACAGTAACATCTAGCACAGCGTATTTTGTGGTTAATTACTTAAGAATTAATCATAGATGAGAATTGCAACAATATTGTCATCATCATCAGTCATGGACTACCAACATTTAAGGATTTAAAACATTCTGGAGAGATTTTTGATATATGTTACCTTTTTGCATTACGGCTGGGTTTTTTTCTAATTTTGCAAATGACTTTGCCAAGCCAATTTAATTAAAAATACAAATGCCCTAATAGCCACACAGAAGCTGCTTGGTGAAGTCATAGTAAGCAATTTCTTCACAGTGCCCTTTATTGTAAACCCCTCCCCCCCCAAAGTTTTCCTATGTATGAAGAAAGATTTTATCTGCATGAGACTTCTCTTGAGAAGAGGGTGACCACCGAGTTGAATCATATCTGGTTTCTTGTGCTACTGGATGCTATTAACAAAAAGGTGTATCTACTGATCAGAGAAGATGACTGGAAGACAAGAAGTTCTGTGTTCCATTCCCTGCTGTTACAACAAATATCTGTATAAATTCTAGCAAGTCATTTAACTTTTGTGCCCCGCCCTAACATACAGGTGCATTACGAGACTTATATTTGTAAAGCACTTGAGCATGCCTAGAGCATCACATACAAATGTTAAATAACAATAATAATAATAAAGAAAAATTATATCCTTGAAAGAAAAATGCTATAGAAGAAAAACAAAGAAAACTGATTATTTCTCATGACTTCATTCAAACTTTGAACCATTTCCCCAATTCTTGAATACCTGTATTTCATCACCAAAGTAACCAGTTCCCTGCATACCATGCCCAGCATCAAGATGAACCATCAGAGACAGTGTGTAATGTATAATGGGATAAAAGAATATCTCCTTAAACCTTTTTGACAGATACAAAATATGAATATTGTGAGTGCCATTAAATTCAAACACTTGGGCCAGCTCAGGGAATAGCATTTCCAGCTCCTGCTCTCTTCAAAATAGGGGGCCACATGGTGAAGTGCTTATTTAGTATTTAGATTTGCTCTGAAGTGTAGGAGCCAAGCTGATATGCCACCAAAGTTGCAGCCCAGAAATATAAAATGCTGATTATATTTGTGAGTCTATCTTCAGCTCAATGAGCTTTCCATTGGTTCATCAGTTAAAGGTCTACTACATGACATGACCAATTGATTAAGAAAACTTGATCTTTCCTGATCTGGCTATTATAGTTTTCAGCATATGATCAAGGACAGAGAATAATTTCAATCAATCTGTGACGAACAAATAAATTAATGATCTCAGTTTAGTAGATTAATTATTTGTTCTAAACTCCCTGGTGACAAACTATTTTTATTTCCTCTTTTCCCAACACGATCATTGAGGTATCTCATTGTTTTGTAAAGGCCAAGCAAAAGATGAATTAGCAATAATTTCAAGCACATTAAGAGAGTGTATGTGCTGATTAGAATCAAACATTGTAATGCTGTAAGATCTATTATTGATCATTGTTTCCAAAGTTATAAATGTAATGAGACTAAGGTTCCATGTAGACTGTAAGTACAACTTTATTTTGGTAACCTGGTTATAACACCTTCATTGACATCCATGCTGCAGAATTATAGTGTTACCACCTGGTTACAGGAAGATAACCAAGTGCCAGTTTTAGTCAACTGCAGGAGTGAAACCTCAGTAGCCAGTGCTGTTAGTAGCTGAATATTAACCATTGTGTGTGCTGGCACAAACCATACTATGGCAAACTCAGCCGTTAAGTGGCTACAAATTTGGTTTGTACACAAGGCCTTAGTGATAGCCTAGGAAAAATCTCCAAAGTTAGTAAACTCCAGAAAAAACTTCTTTCTTGTAAAATCTCTAAAGAACAAAGAGCTACTTACCCAAGTTTTCAATGGAATAGTAGCGCTGTTTGCTGTCTACTCGCACTGTCTCAGCATATGGGCTGCCCACTCCATAGCCAATGATGTATCCTCGTACAACAATGTTTGGATTCAGTGGTGGAGTCCAACTCATGACGATACTGGTTGTCAATGGCCTGACATGAAGAGAGCTTGGCTGATCAGGAACCTGAGATTCTGGGATACAAAGAAAGGATCCATTAATATCTTGCTCATTGAGTTTTACCATTTACAAAGGCAGAGTTTAGATTAAGAAATACGTTATAAGAAAGTAACCAGGAATCTCAGAGCTACATGCATAGTCTACATGCAATTTCCCTTTTGAACATTCAGCCTTGTTTTGAACTACATTCTTCAGCAACAAGCACATTAAGCAGCTTCTTCAACATATAAGATCTCCTTTCCTCTTTTAAAAAAAAATAGAATATCCCTCTGTTCGTCCCATTTTTAGCATACGAATACAAGGCAGATCCGAAATTATGCAGGAAAGTGGGAAATGGAAATGTTTGGAATTGATAAAAAATTCCCCATAACAAATTTTGAAGTCTTCCTGGTTTATCTGCAAGTCAAATAAGATGCTGAAATCAACTAGATGACTTATCATGGGCCAGTAGTTTAACTACAGTATTTAATGAACTGGTTGACTTTGTGAGTGATATAATAGCATTTATAACAGCAATGACCTATCTCATGCCTATGAAAACTGTAATGTTAATTACGAGCAAGCAAGCTTGAACTGTCTTGGACATGCCTCCCTTGGCTTGGAGGCTGTTCTGAATAATACAACAGCACTTGGATAATAAAATGAAATAATACAACAATATTTTTTATACAGGTTCTCTCAAGGCATATTCATTTCTACGTAGTACTTAATGACTTGACGCATAACTAGCACACTTTGTCTTCAGTGAACCCATTTTTACTTTAAAGAATAGATGAATAAATGCCTTTTGCTGGAGCGTATGGTAGCTACTATATCACAAGTCTCTTTAGAAGAGCAGCACAGTAGCTTGTCTTCTTGAGAGCAGAAAGAGACAAGCTACTATTTTTCCCCAGTGAAGAGGCCTGTAATATAATAGGCAAATGCATGGGGGGAGTGGGTAGTGGTACAAAATGCAGGTGTAAAACTCCAACAAAAGATATTTTGAGATTGTGAAGCATTCCCACTATAAACCTTGGAAAAGACCATAAAAAAGATGGAATTAATACTTTTCAGTCCTATTGTCATATATGGTACAATGGTGTCTTTGGTATTTTATGTGCTTTGAAATGAATTCTATTTAACACATTTGAAGAACTATTGAATCTGGTTAGTACATTACCAGTCTGATATGCAAGTTTTAAAAGTTCTTTGCACTCAGTTTTCTTAAAGTTGCTATACACGGTCATACACTTTAAGAATGAAGGAAATGCATTGAAGAATAGCTAATGACAAAACAAAAACCAGATTACACCAGCAGTGCCACCGCAAATCATATACAATTGTCATTCATCTCCTTCTGACCTCCAAACTTTGCTTCAATGCAGAATCTAAAGTTACTTGAATCACTGTCTTTGAATACTGATGATTTTCAAAATTACAAAAGTGGTTCTTACATGAATCAGACATATAGTAGCAGTTTAGCACCTTGTAATAGGAAGTCGTAGAATGAGGCGATACTGGATTCCTTGCACACGGTAGAAGCAGTAAATCTCAAGCAGTTCATGAAATCAGAACATTCAAAAAGCTATTGGCAACAAGCAATAATCTTTACATCTCACTTATATAATACATAGAGATTTTAACACCTGCATAGACGTCCCTACGTAGCAGTTGGGGTCAAACAATTTTATTCTGATATGCTGAACTGTTCGTATGAAGGAATTCAAACATATGTATCATACAATTTTAAACATCAGTGCCACTGTTGTCTCAGTAGCAAAAACCAAACTATAAAGAAACACAGAGATAAAAATGAACCTAAGGTGAACTCACCCATTTTGGACTATTTGCCCACATAAAAGTTTTATGAACATGGGAACAGAGGGCATTTCAGGGGCAGAATTCATTTTAGAGACAGAAGAATTCTATATATAATTCTAGCTTAAATCTAGCACCTGTCCTACTCCTTTTACATTGTTACTTAGATGATGCCAGGTGTTGGCATAAAGGCTTAGGAGAACTGCAAATGTGGTTAACTCTAATCTTTCTGAATATTGCTAAGTTTTTAGAGTGAACAATCCACTGTTGGAAGAGCTTGTTTCCTGCTGGCAGACTCATGGAAACTAAATGAATTGGTTCCCATTTGAAGGTTTTGTTCACAACCAGAAGGAACAGAAATGTAACATCACTCAGATGCTGCAAAAAACACTGTAAATGCTAAGTCTCCATCAAGAAATCTTAATTATATGCCAGACTGTGGAATTTCCATGCACAGGTGTTGGAACTAGGAGTGCTGGAAGTGCTACTGCACCCTGGGCTTGAAGTGGTTTCCATTATATACAGGGTTTACAGTTTGGTTCAATGGCTCTCAGCACCCCCACTATACAAATTGTTCTACCACTTCTGTTTCCATGGCTGGTACTGGTCTAATTATGATTAGAAATGATACAGAACATAGTCCTTTTGCTTAACCTTATTATCTGATATTTTTCTACTCTTGAGTAAATGAAGCAATCTATCCATACTCCTCATCTATCCAAGTAATTCTGAAATGTATTGCCTTTGTACTGACCAGACCCACAGTTTCTTTTTGTGATTAAACAATTTCATCACATTGCTAGCCATTATTTCTTTGGGTCACATATCTAAAAAGATCCAAAATATTTCCCCTTACACAATTACAATCTGCCTTGGATATCCAAGTAGGTTCTTTATCTGCTCAAGTAGCTCATCCCAATACCACCCGTGTCAATTCTGAGAGTATAAGCTTATTGGATGATAATGCACTGTAAACTTTCTTAAACACAAACTATATTACTTTAGGTCAGATCCCAAGGTGGTGTAAATTGATGTAGTTCCATTGACTTCCATGGAGCTATGGTGATTTGTGGCAGCTGAGCATCTGGCCCACTGTGCCCACAGCCACGTTCATTTATCAATGAATACTTCCTAGTTCACCACTGTTCTCTTTATCGCTTCTACTTTATGTAATGTCTATATCTGTTTACTGAAGCTGATCAGAAAAATTAAGATGGAACTATTTTCCATAGGAAAATGCAGTTGTTAAAACCAAATGCTTTGTAAAACGGTGTCAATTTTGTAAAAATTTCATTCCAGACAAAAACTGAAAAAAAGGCCCAATGTCTTCACCGTGCATTAAGGTGGGGCCCTTTCTCCAGCTGGATGTAGGAGGTAAACTGCCCCCTTCAACTTCAGTAATGGGGCTTGTACAGAAGCTGGTGGAAAGGGGGAATTTTCCCTCACCACCGAATTGGCCTAGGTGAGATGGGTTTATTGCCTTCCCCACAGTGAGTTGTGGACTTAATGGGGTAGAAAAGGGGGGCTTAGGCTACAATGTCACAATTCATTGTGTAACATTGTGGCAGATGTCCAGTGCAGGTATTCCATTGGGAATGGATATGGATCAGATAAAAAATGGATGGGTAAAGGAGCTACAGAAAACACACTTTAAATAAGCAGAAAAAGGGGAAGGGATGATAGCTGCCCCCAAGAACTGATCATGGAATTACTTGCACTGTACAATTTTATCAGCCAGATACTCCCAGGTATTTTAAAAATAATTTTGTGGCCTAAATAATACCACATTCAGGGTCTCCTCCTCCTAGCATAGATGGGCAATGTTGTAATGGGACATTTCAGCATCATTTCCAGAATGAAACATTTCAATTTTTTTCATTGTGAAGTGACTTTTCATTTTGATATTTTCTTTTTTATAATATATAATATGAACTTTTTTAAAAAGTCAAAAATGAAGCCAAAGTATACGTGGTGCTTGATTTGAAATGATTTTTTAAATCATCCCTTGGAAAAAATGTTAAATGTTGGGTTTGTTCTGATTCAAAACAACGCCAAATTTCAAAATCTGAAATACTTTGTGAAGCAGAATTTACATCCTTCACACAGCTCTACTCTTTACGTACCTTTTACATTTAGTCCCTGGTAACTCTCACTTCCCCATCATCTTCCAGCTAAATGCATGTAAACATCTACTTAGACTTAGCATATAGATATATAGATATACCTCTTACTGTCTTCTTTACTGCATTTTTTGCTCAATATACAGTTATGCCTGTGTTTCTAACCTTTTTTCTGTCTACCTGATATTAAACATGGTGTCTGAGACATTTCTGAAAGAAGGAATCTTGAAATTCTGTTTCTATACATAAATCCTCAAACCTGCTTTGAAAGATCTCCATTCTACATTCTACATTTGTCAACACTTCTAACATGAATAAAGATTCCATTCTCCTTGCACTCTGCAATTGTGCATGGAGTTCCTCTGACTGTAACTTGATGTCTCCTGTCCTCATTCATAGAAGGAAAAATTCTATGTGTACTCCAGCTGCTGAACTCAACCAGAATTGCACACAAGTATCTGAAGGCTGAATCTGGCCCATAGAACCAGTAAGAAACTCTTACTTTTTCTTATGTCTGAGGTTAGGAAACACTTCATGTTACTTTGAGTCTGCATTCTTTACCTTCTGCGCTATGCACATTTTGAGAATCTTAGGGCGTGTCTACAAGGTACCATGTAGTCAATCTAGATTCTGTAAGAAATGAAATCTTATACCATAGTTTCACTGCATAATGTGCTGTTTTCTTTATTTCATCCTTAATCAACGACTCTTTTATGTAATGGTCCAAGCACACGTCTTTCATTCAGGGAATGTCGTATGTTTAAAGGTCCTTAATTCCTCAGGCTAACTGACAACACTAAGGAAGTTATTTATATTTGGGTCACTTTAGCAATTGTAGAGGATTCTCTGGAGTTCATAGCTGTATATTTTACAGATTAAACTAAGGCTACCTGATATTATTTTCATTTTCTTCCTGTATTCTCACAATTCATTTTCAGAAGAAACTACACTGTAATACAGGTTTAGCTTGTCATGTTCTTAAACACTAATTTAGGGCTGAAGTTAAACTATATCACTAATATGTATAATAGCTTCCATCTGTTCAAGGCAGCAAGCAGAAACTGAAAATCCTAAACCCGTTTTCCTGGAGGATACCTTTGCAAACTTGAGTCTCTTGCATCCTTGCTCAAGCTATTTAAATCAGACCCTATGGGGAAAACTAAATTTCCATTTTTTAAAGCACAAAATTTGAGGCTCAAAAATAAATATTTAAAAGCTTCCCAGCTGTCAGTAAGGGCACACAGGCTTTCCAGGGAACCTTGAATAAGCAGTGATGTTTGGCTTTCTAATCACTTTAACAAAACACACTAATTAAAAGGAACATCCATAGGGAGTTAGTGTAGTTCTCCTAGAAACTGTTCATCTTTGTGTTGCTTATGCCAAGCAGACATACAGTGAAGGCAAGAGAAACTGCATAAACCATAAGAGCAGAAAGGGAATTGCAGTTAACAATCTGTGCAACAGCATTTCTACTATTTAGCTGACAGTTGCAGGACTTTGCATAACTACAGTAATAAGTCGATTTCTCCCCGGAGTTTATCAGAGTATCTCAGCGGTATATATATTATGCAACACAATGCATGCAAAGTGTCAGATTGCTGCAGCTTCACTACAGATTTTTCATTGGTACTGTAAATGCAAATATGTGTAGACACAATATCTGAAAAAAGTCTTTGGTTTAATTTCATTATCAGTGTGTTTTCATTTTCATTGCATGTCCCCTATGATTACGCTGCTAGCATCTTTGCATGCATATACATATATAATGTTGGAGGAAAACAAATATCATAATATTTTGATGTGGATTAAATGCAAATAAAAACAAATGTGTTCCAAGAAATGCATTGTGTTTCATTTTGCAACATAAATAAATAAAGCCAAGGGATGTATTTGCTTTTTTTTTAAAAAAAACATGATATTAAATATTGAGACGTGTTTAGAATATATTTAGTTTTACTTACTAAGATCTACCTCCAAATGAGTGGCCAGCTGCTCTCATCTTGAGTAATGTGTCATTTCTGAAAGCGCTATCCACCCAAAATAGTAGTTAGTAGAATGATAGCATACATCACCAGATACCATAGCATATTGTGACCAGTCAGTATGGTCACATCACTTCCAAAAGTGTCATCACCTCTTTAAAATGTTTATTGGAACCCAGTGGCATTGAATACAATATTTTAGGTGCCAACTAAGCCAGATAGACACATTCCTGGCTCCTCCATAAAAATGGAATTGGTGGTGAGGAAAAATGCTCAAAGTAGGGCAGGCTGGTTGTGAGATCATGAGGAAAGACTCTCAGTCAAAAAACAAAAAAAGGAAGATGACAATCTCCTGTTGCCTTTTTTACTAATTGCCTGTTTATTCTTTCATCCATTTTACCTCTGTTCCTCTTTAGATGTTTTGGCTTTATTTTGCTTTTGAGCCTTGATTAGTTTCCTCTCCCCACCCCACCCCCGTTCAGTTTCCCCATATTTTCTATTGATCTTCTTCCTTATATATTTGCTTCTTCAGAATTCTCCTTAGTTTTTTTTCTCAATTTCTATCTGCATCTTTTTTGTTCCATTTTACTTGCACTTTCTTTACTTTTGAAAGTAGGCAGATATTTCCATTACTTTTCCTTTCTTCTTTTAGTTCTTCAAATGTCTCAGTCAGTGTATCTGTCCCTTTGCTTTCAGTTACTTTTTTCTTTTATATCAACATCCGTAGTCATTTTTACATTCAATATTTTTCAGGTTCCTGTATCCTATCATCTTTCACTTATTATGTGGCTTCATTGCCAACCATCTGAAAATAGATACTTCAAAGACAATAATCCTCAAGACATTTGTAGGCTCATTTTGTTGAGTTAGAGGCATCACTATTATTTTAAGTGCTTCTCTGATTGATTGTGTTTATCGTTCATGATGTTATTGATTCACTTCATACTAATTTTCTTTCAAATAGTCATGACACACAGGCATGAAATTCTAATACCTGATAATTACAACAAAGACTTTTGACTCTTTACTGGTGATCAGATCAGAGACATAGCTTAAGAAATATTAGTAGTGAAATCTATGTACACATTATTTGGTTGGTTATTATCCAAGATTGTTATTGTATATTTTTTCAAGTGCAGCAAAAACTGAAAAAAAAAGCGAGACTGAAAATGAGAGTTCTTAGAGTGCCAGTGTAAATGAGAGAATAAAATTAAGTTGTCCTGTCTTCTCCCTTCCCCTTCACTTGTTCAGAAAGCAGCAGGCAATCTTAATAAAGGGTAATCACTGAGTTATTCTGCTCAAAAACACCCAGACAACAGCTCCTGCGACTATAATCATTGGAATCTACCCCAAGACCTGCACAGCCTCTGGGTAAAGCTCTAGGTAACAATTAGAATGACACCCGTCAGATAAAAACCTAGAAGGAATGTGGTGATAATGTCTGAAAAGAAATGTAATTACCATCAAGATCATTCTCTGGAGTTTCTGCTGTATACCAATCTGAGGAGGGTCCTGTCCCATTGACTGTCATGGCAGCTACCTGGAAACTGTACTGGCTTCCTTTATCAAGTCCTGTGAAAAACATAATATAAACCAAACAGAAGAAAAAACTAGTTTTATCAAGATTCCAAAGTTTGCAACAGAACTAGAGCAAAATTAATAGTCTCCAGTAAAATTCCAACTTCCTTGCCACATTTAGTTGTGTAGGTAAACAGGCCTGAACTAATATATTCATTTATATGAACACAGGGCCGGCTCCAGGCACCAGCCCACCAAGCTGGTGCTTGGGGCGGCACCTGGAGGGGGGCAGCGCGGCGCTCCGGCCCCCGGGGAGAGCGGGGCCACGGCCGGGCTCGCCGCCCTACCCCCTGCGCTCTGGCCGCCGGGGGCAGAGCGGGCTCGCCGCCCTGCCCCCGGCGCTCTGGCCGCTGTGGGGAGAGAGGAGCCCCCGCCGGGGCTCGCCGCCCTCCCCCCAGCCGCTGGGGCTCGCCGCCCTCCTCCCAGGGCTCCGGCCGCCCTCCCCCCTGGCGCCCTCCCCCCGGCCGCCGGGGTCGCCGCCCTCCCCCCGGGGCTCCGGCCGCCCCCCCCCCCCCCCGCTGGGGGGGGGGGCGGCCGGTGGCTTTTTTGCCTGGGGCGGCAAAAAAGCCAGAGCCGGCCCTGTATGAACAGCAATAGTGAGTATGTTCCTACAGACATATTCATTTACAACAGAACCACTGGTCACTACAAATTTCTATTACTGTTGCTACTTAGTACCAATTCAGTTTAGCTCATAGACTTAATTCTGGACCCTATGTTGCTATGGTGAAACAATCTGGCCACCAAACCTCCTATAAGTGTTTTATCATTTTATTTAGTCCATCCTGACCATGAAGTACAAGAAAAACTGTTATGTTCAATTGCAAACATTCTCTGGGGAAGAATGATCAAAATTAAAAACAGCAATTTAAATTGATCAGACATTGGAACTTACAATAAAACAGATAGCAGCCTTTTAAAATCTTTAAAATCTTTGTTTAAGTTACTTTACTATTACAGGTTTCTACATTATCCTGCAAAAACACCTGCCTAACAAATAGAGGATTGTAACAAGTATTTACAACTGAATATTTAAGTCATCCATTTAAAACAACTGTACAGTTCAGCTTCTCTAGCAACCATTTTATTATTTTATTTTTTAATATTTTATTATATTAGAGCCTATAATGATGAGGTCTGAAGGAAGTTTTGTTTTTAAACCTGCAAATTTAAATATGTATTTCCACTACTTTCCCAAAACAAATACCTAACTTAATATTTTAAAATGCAGAAAATCTTCCACACATTGAACGCCCCCGCAGAGACAACCAGCGCCCAGTCTTCTATCCCAGGTACATGCCTACATTTGAGTCTCACTTTTCAGTTAGAGTCAAAACTTCAAGGACAGTCTTTCTTCCTCAGCAATGTTGAATTTTCCAAGATCAAGGTAGCTCTATTATATTTATATTAGTATATAAAGTACAGTATGCATGCATGTGTATATTTTACAGAGGGATATATCATAGACTGTGATGATATCAGTGGAACAAATTATGGAGTCATGTGATAAACTCCCTTCATTATGTACCTTTGACCATATCCCACTAATCCATCACCTCCTGAAGCACTTTTAACACTCCAAGTCTCTGAGCAGCCACCACTTTTTATTTTGAAATCACCTATCATAGAAATGTTTCATTCTTTCCCAACAAACCTGAAATTTTTATCTCCCCAAAACTACCCTGCTCTGAATCCAATAATCACTAGTCCTACAATCTTTACTCAAGTAGTCCCATTATCTTTGAGACTATTTACATGAGTAAGAACTACTCATGGTTGCATCATTAGATCTTAATTATGTAAAAATTATCTTCTGCTTTTGATTTTCTGTGACTCTAAACAAACTTGGTGTTTTTTCAAAATAAATAATTTTTTTGTCCCTTAGATATGTACTTTCATGAGACAGAAATATTTTCAACTCTCAAACAATACTATTTTATTTTAAAGTAAATGGAGTGGGGAATTTCAGGGAAAGAGCCTGGGTTTCACCTATGGAACTTAACTTCCTTCACAATAAACACATATTGCTGGTGCAATATGAAAATATACCTGTCATAGTCTGACGATATCCTGGACAAACTTTATGGAATTAAGATAAACTTTACTGAAAACAAGTTAAACATTACTCATAGACTCAGACTTTAAGACTAGAAGGGACCATTAGGATTAATACTTTTGGGGGCCTATTGGTATTAAAAATGAAATGGTGTATGCGTTATTGTGGAATTGATGTACCTTCTCGATCAAGGAGGGAGATGCTAATGTATTTCCTCCATTATCAACCCTTTGAAGGCACCTCCCAGGAAAGTTATGCATATACTAGTTCAACCTGGATCCTTCAGGATTTTTGGATAAATAGCCTGGTTTTAAACAGACTCAGGGCCTTCTTTCTGATCCACAAAATAGACAGGATCCTGGTCCATGGAGGGCCCCAATCCTTAGGGGAGGATGGAAGCACTGGGCCTCCTGAGGTCCATAAGACTGTGTGCTTGTTCTGAGCTGAAGCTGTGAGGAACTTGTAAGCACAAGGAATCCCCTTGGATGGGGATTTGAAGGACTGCTTCTGCCAGAATCTATGTTAGGGTTGGGGTGCACCCTGGTAAGCTTATTAGCATGCGTGTAGGTTCTTTATTGTTTTAGGATGTTTTCTCTGTTTTGTACAGAAAAAAACAAAACAAAAGTGTGGTGATGTATAACTGTAGCAATTACACCTGTTAACTATCTCTGAAGAGGAAGCAAGCAGGTGTGCTTGGGCAGCCTGACTATGCTGGGAATAACACAGTGAAGGCAGGGAGCTGTGCAGCCTGAAAATACCCCAGTCAGAAGGGCATGAGATGCAGGTCTCCACTGAAGAAAGGCAATGGCTGGAGAGCTGAAAGCCTCAAAGTGGGTGCCCTGGCTGGGCCACTGAGGAGAAATACAGGTACATCTGCTCTGTGACAACATCCTCCTCCAGAAAGGACTCAAATGAAATTATTCTTTGTTTAATTTAATGTTACCTTTAAAGTACTGATTTGGCTGATTACACTTAGCATGGCAATTATATTTTTAAAATAGTGTAGTGTTGGACCTTTCACAGTGGGAAGAGAGATTTCCTCCCCCCCTCCCCCCCATAAAATACAAGAAGATGGATGGAGAAAAAATCCGTGTGGTAGATGTCATTGTACTAAGAGAAAGGATGTGTGGTTGACTCAGTGGTCCGAGAAACCAAACTAGGCTTAAGATGAACAGAGGGAATTTGCTTTCATTAAGGTGATGAAATCCAGGGGACAAAATGTATGAAAAAAAGCATTAAGGAGAAAAGGTAAAAAATATATAAAGATTGTTTCTGTACAGCCCAATAAATGTCACTTGCCAGAAAAGAAATCAATGTTTCCTTGAAGTGAAAATATATTTTATTCCCAAAGCATTTAATTCATCAAAACCTTGCAAAGCTACACCATGAACACTAACCTGTGAACAAGTACCAGAGGTTGTTTGGCTCCAGTGTTTCTATCTCACCCCTGCGGGTAGTCTTTCTGTGTCGGATTTTATAGCCGGTAATAAATCCATTTTGTGTGCCTGATGGTGGAGGTAGCCAACTAACTTTGATGCTCTGTAAAAACAGGAGATGTTAATGTTGAAATTTTTGCAAAAGATGACGAGAAATGGAATCACAAGTAAACAAAAGTGTGTTGGGGGTGGGGAGGGAGAAGGGATAGGTGTCAAGGCTGTTTTTTATAACAACATAGTAGTAATAATTAAAATTAATCAACTTTAGAACAAACAAATGTAATTTAAACCAGGCACCAAATAGGGTTGAAAATATTAAAACAATATCACATCACTAAAACTACCTATTAATTGGCAAAATTAACTATGTGGATGGTTGAAGCTTGGGGAATAAATAGCATGGTCCCTTGCTGGAAAACTCTCAGTTTCAGGAACATTTCATTTCAACAGGCCAAAAGGACGTCTCAGCTCCTTCATACACTTCTGTGATATTACAGCTGTCATCTTCATAGGTGAACATATATTGTGGCTCATCTCCACTTTCTAGTGAACCTCGAAGTTACAAAACCACCCATGCTAGCTGTACAAATATTTAGAGACAGGTTCTCATCAAGAGCTTTCTACTTCGATTAACTTCAGTGGAGTAATTTCTGAGTTATACTAGTCCCCATCAAAAGATCAGTCCCCTTGGCTTTAACCTTATTGCTGATTCTAACACACTAGAGCATTTTAGCAGAATTGTTCGATGAAGTCAACAGCAATAAACTTGATCAAAATTTGTGTAAATACCTTGGCCTGCCTTTTCCAAAAAATGACTTTAATTGTCTCATTTTTGGAGCACCTTAAAAGGAGCCTGATTTTCATAAGTACTGACCACCATATCCTCTGAAAAATAGGTGACTCAAACTGGGCATTCCCAGTACTGAAGTGCCCCCAAATCACTGGTCACTTTTGAAATCTGAGGTAGTTGCTTTTAGGATTCTTTATGATAATTCACTTTACACCATGTTATCAACAGATACAATAAAATCCTCAAAGGCATGATTCTTATCTGAAAAGTGAAATCTGAGCTACCATTTATAAGAGAGCTTTTGTTGTTCATCAATATCTCTTCCCCAGGACCACTGTCTGGGAATTAACTCTTTGTAAGAATCTGGTCACATGAGTACTGAGTGCCTAACTCCCATTGACATCACTGGACAGTTAGGATGTTCAAGACCTCACAGGATCAGGGCCCTATAAAAGTATCTTACCCAGTCTTTAATAGAACCTATGCAACCAGCTTTTGGACAAAAGGAAGAGTAATCTACAGGGCAGTGGATAGTTTGACCATATACAATTAATTATCATCATCGAATTGCTTAGTCCATGCACAAATAAAAGTTATGGCACATATCAAATTAATTATTGCAATATAAAAATCAATTTTGCACATCTACTGCATAGTGATTTATTGGTCCAAATCAATTAGACATTTCAAAATCAATAGGTGGGGTTTTCAATGCTAAATGATGTAATGTAGCAATATGGTAGAACAAGCTGCATTTTTCAATTCAAGGAATGATTGTTTTTTAAAAAATGGATTTAGCAGCTGTGGCTATAAAATTGCATTCATGTAATATGTTTATGGGAAAATGCAACTGCTCAGAAAAGAGATGCTATAAACATGGACATAATGGAGAACATAAAAAAAAAGGCTTCTGAATTCTTTTGGGAGGTTAACAGTAATTCTGTTAACATTTGCTTAAATGAGGGATTTTAGCTCGTATAAATCTGAGCACCCTGTGGGCCCTAAAAACTGCGTGGCACTGTGCCCCTTTGTATAATCCTGTGCATCTTTATCTCCCTTTGAAGTTAATAGTGATGGCGGGCCCTTGAATGATTGGCCCCATAGGAGCAATGGGTTTGATCTCACATTCAAGGTGTAATGCATAAAACAACTTTATAGTTAGACAAGTCCCAGTCCCTTAGAGCTCTACCCAAAGCTGTCACCATTACGGCAACAGTTCACTTTCACCTCAACTCAGTCTCCATGGACACTGCAGCAATGCTTTTTATCAATAGTACTTAACATGTGACCCTTGCTTCTCAAAAATCAATGGCTAAGGCTCTGAAGTGCCTCTTGTCCTTTACTCAGTTTGAGAGAGAATAGTAATTACTCGTACTTTAATCCTTTATGTTTTATAGAAGGGACAATTTACTGAAGGAAAATATTTCACTTCTATTGTACCAGGATTCCTAAGGAAACCATAAAAAGATTCGGCTATCGTGCTTGTTTTATGAGCCTTCTAGGCATGGCTGCAAAGAAATTTTAATAATGCATTGAAAGGATTTTTTTTACCACCTGTGTATTATTGCAATAATTCCACTGTAATCAGACTGTGTCCACTGGCCTGCACTTCTGTAAGGTCATCACCAGCAGCACCGTATGGGTCTCAGCAGCCAAAGATATCATTGGCTTCATTCAGAGCTGCACTTTTGACAGTCAGACCCTATGCTTATTGTGGCACAGCAATGGACATGGCACTACCCCACTCATAACATGTGGCACAGATTAAACGTTATGGTGGAGAGTTGCAGACACATCTTCAAATGTTTTTAAAGGGGCTATTATTTAAGTGATTGCAAACTGCATTGCATGATACACATTAGTGTTAGAAGAAAACGAGCAGGAGGACCCAGAGGCAGAGTTGAGTATTGGCTTCCTTATTGCGATACTTGTTCCCCTTGACCCAACTGTCGAGTAAGCACCGAATTAGTTACAGCACACTCTTTTTGTCTAAGTTAGTATGTGCATGCCTACATCCGGTACAACACCTCAAAAACCCTTACTAAGTAATAAAAACACCCATTCTGTTAGTAAACCCACCCTATCTATTGTGCACAGCATTACGCATATCACACAGCATGTCATATCATACAATTGGGTCGAGGGGAACAAGTATCGCAATAAAGAAGCCCATACTCAAATCCGCCTCTGGGTCAACCTGCTCTTTTTCTTCTAACAATTAGTTTGACTGAGGACCAATAATTGGTAAATCCGTTCAGAAAAAAATAGGTATTGGCCTGAACTTTCATCCAACGTTCATTGTCCTGTTTTATAAACAATGTATACAGGTTGTGTGTATGCTGCAGCTGCTGCTTTTCTTCTTCTTCCTTTTATTTATTTATTTATTTATTTATTTTTGCAATGCTAATGGATAATGAGGACACAATTTTCAAAGAAAAGGTCAACTACACTTTTGCATGTTCATTTACAATTACACCATGTAGATCCACAAATCAGGTAACTGCACCCAGGAAAGGTCAGTTATGCACCTAATTGGCCATTTTTGAGTTCACATACGTACCTGATTTGCACATGCCCTTGTTAGAAAACCTGGCCTTGAAAACTGTCAAAAATGCGGGGAGGGGAAATAGAATTAAAACAAGAGGACTCTAAAGTGAATTTGTGTAACACAATACACAGACACATACAGTTTGTATAAAGTTGGGAAAAAAATAAAAGGAAGAAGAGTATAAATTCAAATCATCTGCTGTGGCCACATCCAATGACTTCATACAACTAAGAGATGGACTATAGCTCTCTGAACACTCTAGGAGCCAGAAACAACTCAGCTCTAATCCCAAATCTAACTCTGACTTCCTACGTGACCTTGGACAATCACTTAACCTATTCATTGAACAGGGCAGGAAACTTGGGCATCAGGAGACCTAGGTTGTATCTTTGAACCTGGACTCCTAGGCAAGCACTTAACTTTTCTTTGTTTCCCTGGGGATAACATTTACCAACTTTTGTAAAATGACCTGAGATGGTTGCATAAAAGGCTCTATTTTAAGTATTATTTCTGCCTCAGACTAACCGTATCTGCCTTTTACCAATATCAACAGCAACATTGTGAAGATTATTTAAAGTTTATAAGGTGTTGTGTATTGTATGCATTAAATATTAATAATAATTTCTGTTCAAATTTTATTCTTTCAAATTGTGTACTGCACATACTTACTGTGCGTTGAAAATTCATAGGAATGTTATGTATTGCACTTTGGTACATATTCAATTTAAACAAAACTCCACTCTCCCTCAAGATGAACTCAATTTAGTGAGAGATTTATATTAAATAAGAAAGTAATCCATCATTATGGAAAGTAGAATTTTCTGGAATAGACTTCGAAGCACCAGTCATTCTGAATTTCTAGTTTAGCCATGCTAGTTCCTTCAAAACCAGCATATTCCAGCATATTCTACCATATTCCAGCAGAGTAATTGCATCCTGTCTACACTGCACAGTACCAGTGTTTTCAGTACTTCTAGGGAATGACATCTAAATGCAGAATACCATTCACAGCAGACACCAGTTACAAATAACTAGAACCTCCTAAACACATTTGATGGAAGATTTTAAGATTAGTTTGACCCATCTTCAGTACTTAAGAAGGAACAAAGGAATTGTCTCATAGGATCAGACTAGTAATAGTAGCCCAGCTACTCCAGTATCCTCTCTCCAACAACGGCCAATGCCAGTTGCTCTAGAGGAAGGCACAAGACATTTTTTATTAGGCTTCAGGAAAAGTCTGCCTTCAGGAAAAATTTCCTAACCAACTCCCAATATTCAGATGCTGCCTTATGCTGCCAAAGGGGAAGAGATAGCTCAGTGGTTTGAGCATTGGCCTTGCTAAACCGAAGGTTGTGAGTTCAATCCTTGAAGGGGCCACTTAGGGATCTGGGGCAAAATCAGTACTTGGTCCTGCTAGTGAAGGCAGGGGGTTAGACTCAATGACCTTTCATGGTCCCTTCCAGCTCTATGAGATAGGTATATCTCCATATTTATTTATATTAAACATGAGGGTTCCAATTTCTCCCAAATCCTTTTTAAAAAAAAATACTTTTAGAACTCATGATAGATTTATTACACCTATAAATGTCCAATTGCTTTTTGAATTCTGCTGAGTTCTTGGCTTCCATGATATCCTGTGCCAATGACTTCCATGGGCCAACTGTGCATTGTGTGAAAAAGTGTTTCCTAGTATTTTAAATTTGCCACCATTCCATTTAATAGAATGTCCCCTTGTTTTTGTAATATCAGAAAGGGTGGACAGACA